TTTTTTTATTTGTATGCTTATTATAGGGTACTTATCATCGTCATCATCATAATGATACTTCACTTTTATTTGATTTCACATGAAGTCTGGCTTCTACAAATTTTAATTACACATTTTGTTGTTGTTGGGATCTATGGATAAGCACCTGCGTTCCGTACAAGCTAGACAACGTCTGCTCGCAGTAGATTTCGTTATAACCGCTCGGTTGAAAACGAAAATGAAATTCAATTTCAAATTCAAAATGAAAGTGAATTTAATTTTTTGGATAATTACCTTTTTGTGTAATGATAATTCATTAAACGTCAAAATGATGAGTTAACCTTGGCGATATACAAAAACTCTACAAATCATGAATCAAAATTTTAAATGCTGATAATTAGTGTTTAGTGTTATATACAAATGAGATTATTTAATATACAAAATAAATTTCTATAATATAAATGATTCTAATTATTTATTATAGATTATTTATTATAAAATAAATGTTTTTAAGTAGTTCTTTTTAAGGAGTTTTTCAATGCTGTCTTATTCTTTATTTTAATGAAAAACAGTTCCAATTAATATAACAAAAATATTCTTCCAGTGGTCCTTTTCTTTTGTATCCAAAATCAGTTTTTTGTTATTTCAAACCTTCAATCCACTTCGACTAAATCTATCACATTCATTAGTATTAACTATTAAATAATAACTCAATGTACTGAGCACATAAACAGTAGGAACTATCGTAGCAATAACATAAATGACCCCATCCGAATCATGTGGCCAATCTACAAAAAGCTGTCGGCCATATTCTTAATCGCTGCTCTATGTCTTCCTACAAAAGCACGATGCTCGATGTGAATATCATTACTCCTGGTACAACATGATACGAAGATTATAAACATCACTTTTGATTCCACTGCTCATATCTATCATATTCTTTTCATAAAGGTAGACCAATTTCTTAGGTTTGATGAATTGGTTGAGGACAACCAACGACAGGTTGTTACAACGTTTAATACGTGAGATCTTTAAATATTTATTTCATAGACTTTGAAATATTTATTCTCATATAATTAAATTATCAAATCAAATTCAAATTAACACTGTTGATATAATTAATTATACCTTCTGATCAAAAAAGAACGAGAGCCCTATTTTTGAATTCCTGCGCTTATCCAATCGATAAATTTTTTCTATTTTCACTCTGGCAACACTATTATACACATTCTGTCAAAGATTAACGTATATCATACGATTAGTTTTTGTTTGGCGTCTATACAAAAAGTCGAAATATTTTCGGTCCCTGATGATGACTACAGATTATAGTCGAAAAATTGGTAAAAACAAAATCTTTAAAAACAAATAAATATTTTTTAAAAGATCATTATTTAACTGTTAAGCCCTTATATATAAAAAAAAAAATTAAATTGTTTTTAAAAAAAATTAAAAATTAAAGTTCTTATTTGATCACAAGGTATAATCATTGTTTATAGTCCTCTTCATAATTTTTAATTTAAAAACATTGGATTAAAGAAATAAAATTTTGTCTTACATAAAAATTGTTAAAAGTATCGCTAGTATTTGTTTAAAAATATTTTTTAATAAAAATATGATCTCAAAAAGTAATTCTTATATTAAATTCCAGTTCATTTTCTGTCATTATTCCGAACTTTTTTTTAACTAACTTTGGAATATTTATAAAAGATTTATAAGTTTCTCATCTATTCCTAAATAAAATTAGTCTTTTTTACTTAATTTATTCAATTTTATTTTATAAAAATACAAAAAGGACTAAAATTTAAATTTAATGTGGCAAACCTTTAAATTCCATTTTTTTAAATATAAATTAAAATATTTTTTCTTAATATATTTAAAAATCTTCGTCACAAAAACAACCATCCTTAGAATTTTCCATTATCCAGTCTAAATATTTCGTTACTCGAGTGTATACACCTGGATAGTTAGGTCTTGCGCAACCATTTCCCCACGACACAATGCCAATCTGTTCGAAGCGCTTATCATCAGGTCTCATGCGCACTAACGGACCACCAGAATCACCTTGACAAGAGTCGCGTTCACCTTTTCCAGGATAACCAGCACACATCATATTCTTAGTGATCATTTTTTGAGTGTAATTCGTTTGAGCTACACAGATGTCATTGTCCAGTACTGGCACTTCGACTTCTTGCAATAAACATGAGGGTTTACCATCTTCTTTTAGAGTGCCCCAACCTGTAGCAATTGCTTTTGTACCAACAAATAAATCACTGCGTTCAATTGGGCGTGGCAAGCAAATGGGTCGGATAAAACTTGTTATGGGCACACGATCATTGAGACGCAATAGTGCAATGTCATTATCGAAATTAGAAAAGCTGAACTTCTGGCTAAAGGCGCGCAGTACAAATCGTGTTTCGGGGCGTTCCTTATCGTTGCAACGATCGTGTTCACCGAACGTGACCTTGATCATGAACCACATAAAGCCTTTAACGCAATGAGCAGCTGTTAACACGTAGCGATCATTGATCAGCGTTCCACCGCAATAGAAGCGATTGAAGTAACTTAAACGCGCCATCCACGGATATTCACTGACTCCTGCAGTTTGGCCGCCAACAATTCGTGACTCATCATTGCGTTCACCACACCTTGAAAGAGGAAAACAATATTTTATGTTAATTGACTTGGTTAAGTTGGCTAAGTTGTTTGTAAACAAAATTCTCATAAATTTTTTATATTTTTAGTTTGTGTGTGGAATATGTGCTCATCACTGCCAGAACTTAATTAAATGCTCGAATTGCATTCACAAGCATTTTAGCGAAATCCTCCAAATGCTAAAAATACAATTTTAAAATTAAAAATCCAAAAGTTTTTACAATACTTATACGTATGTTATTATATCTCTTTATAAAAAAGATTTTATTGTTCTGTTAATGTTCGGTTTGTTCTGTGTTTAATTAAATTTTATAATTAGAAAAATTTTTTTTTTGTTATGAGAAAAAAAATTATTAGAAAAATCTATAAGAGGTTTCTTTATGATAATGGATCAATAAACTAATCATCAAGAATAAATAAGTAAAATAAATATTAAAAATATAGTCTAAACGAGGATCTCTTTATAATAATAAACCATTAAATCAATCAACGAATATATTTAAACAAAAAATTAAAAAAAAATAATGTATACATTTCCAAAAGTAATAATTAAACGAGCTAAGTATAGTAGTATTATATAAATCAAGAACTTTTATATTCGATTTCTTTTTAAAAATCAACGAAATATTTTTATAATTATTAACATTATAAAATTAAAACCAAATTCTTAATTTAATTAATTTTCATTGAAACTATGCAATGCAAGACTGGAAATTGTAAGCTGCCATTAACAAAAACCTAACTCAATATATATTATAGCCTATTCAATTGATCACGATGGCGACAAAATCGCAGGACCAAACTTTTGGATGAAATAGCATTCACTAAAGCAATTAGTCAGACATTGAAAATGTTTCCATTACGAAGTAGATTAACCTTCGTATTGGTGGATTTTTTAATAATAAAAGAGAAATTAACATATTATTAACATATTTGTATATTGACGTAATATTGTATGAGAACTTCATGCCGAAGGTTATAAAACAGCAATAGTAGAGCAATCCAAGTAAAAAACTGAAGTTCTAAAATTCTATATTTTTTTATGCTTTTTCTATTATTTAATGCATTTAAAAAAATATTTATTTTTTTAATTAGCAATCATACAAAACATTCCTTATATAGTTCACAAGTTTCCTTTATTTTATTTTCCTTTTTTGGCTTTTCAACACCAATAATAACAGTCTACAAATTGTGATTACAACAATTACTTGTTTATTTTAATTTATATCAAATATAACTTTAAGAACTGTATTTAAATTGCAATATAAAATGTACTATAATTATCATCGATTACGTCTAAGTTGTTCTTCTTCAATCAACGCGTGCGATCAGAGGGTTCAACAACAGCATTCAGAAAGTATCGACAGAAATTATAAAAATAATAAAAATGAAAAGCTGTTGTGAATCTCTGTTGACAATCACTTAATTTTAAATACTTAAATTATATTATATATAATACTTCAGTCTAGGCACTCGTTGTAAAAACTGTGAAGACTTACACAAAAAAGAAGCAATTTAGTATTTTTTCTTGGATTGCCTAGCCAGGCTATCATAGGAACAGGTTTTTTGAGAAGGTACGATTTCTCTAAATAGATTAACTCAGTGGGATGGAATTTGTTTTATCTCTCTGTGTCTCTTACGATTATGGTGTTAGTAGTAAGCTAATTATGAGAAGCGGAATGGTATCTGCTGAGTGTTGTAGAGCACCTAAAATTTGTAATTGTATGTATTTTTGGATGAGGAATTTGAAAAAAATCAAAAAAATTTTTTTTTTGAGAAACTTAAAAAAGTCGCGACAACACAGCAACAGCGCCACCTAGCGGATGCAAAACGATGGTATTTTAAGCGGGAACGAACGGTTTCAGAAATTATTGTGTTTAAATATAGTGACATGAGATTTTTAGGCAATAATACTTCGATTATAGTCTATAGTCATCATAAGAGTACAAAATACATTACAAAAACTAATGTTTATTAACTGCTGAAGCTTCTGAAGTTGATTCTGTTAAACTAGAGTTTGTCACTTTCAAATCCTCCTACATCCTTTTAGCATGAAAAGGATGGAAAAAACCTAATACTATTTTACAGAAACATTTCTATTTTTCTTCTTTCTACTCCCTTGTATTATAGTAGAATTATTACATTAGCGCACAAATCGTTGTAACTTTACTCACTTTCCATGGATCATTCCAATTTATAATTCACAATCCAATAATTAAAATCAAAAACTTCCGTTTTTTTTAGACTCAGCAACTCATAGCACCCAGAAAAAGTTGATTAGGCATATTATATGTACCACAAAATTTTCGTGATTAGGTGAATACTTTTCAAATATTTATGAAAGCAAAGTTTTTGGAGCAAGCAGGAATCTTTAAATCAATGAATCACGTGATATTAATGAGATTCTAATAAAATTCGAAACTGAATTGAACACCTTTTTATTAACAAGTTTCGTATAAGTGAAGTAATGATATAAATGGCTAAAATGTATTTTCCTATTGTGATCAGTTCGTTTAGATCGGAGAACCTATTAAGTACCCTGTTTACTCTATTTACTGCAGAAGTTAAAAAAATTATTTAAACAGTTTAAAAATTATAGTTCAAGATCAGTGGTTCCCAACCGGTGGTCCGCGAAATAATTAAAAACGGTTTGTGAATATGGTAGGTAAAATTTTCTATTTTGATAGGAAAATAAAAAATAGTCCGTGATCGCACAAAAGATTTCCAAATATTTATATACCTATTTAATAGCCTGTTTAATGTACCTATGCACGTATACAACTCATTATGCATTATACCAGAGATACATAAAGCATATTAAAAGTATCATACAGTTTATTATTCTTAAACTTTGTGGTCCCGACGAAAAACAAAAATATCATAGTGGGCCTTGGTCACAAAACAGTTGGGAGTCCCTGTTTTAGATAGATAAATTGGCATTAAGCAGAAGGTAAGCTAAGTTTGGTAATAAGCAGTACATTTTTATTATATATATTACAACTGCAACAATGGTTAATCAGGGTACAACCTTCTAGCGTGATTAGTTATGGTAAAATAACATCAACAATATAACACATAAACTAATTTACTTACTAGTTACTTTATGAGATAATTCTTTATCTTCCTCGAAATGTAACATTGAAATTCATAAGATCAATGAATCTCAATAATAGCCAGTAATTAACGCATAACTTTTAAAAATTAAGTGTTTGCCAAATTAGCTGACTTTCGTTAATATCCAGAAAAAGTAAATATTTAGGACTGTATCCAAATATAGAATTAAAAATATTGACTTGATAAACTTCAACAAGTAATACAATACGTTTTAACCGAAATGACGTATTGTACTTGTAAATGACGGCAATACTTTCCGAATCGGATCTATCACACAATATAGTATCTACGTTTTTCGATTATTTTAGAATGTATTAAGATCTGGTCTTTACGCGTCCTGCTAAATCACTGGATAATTAATTGTTGAATTTTTTAACCACTGATTAAGAAACTTTGGTTATCTAGTGCTTCTATGCAGTATTTTTTCACTCAGGTTTACTGCCGATGATAACATAAATTATGAAACCATTTATTCTCAAAATTACTTTAATACTTTTAATATATTAAATTAAATTAAGTGTTTTAATTGAGCATATCCTTATTTTTTAATTTTAATGAGAAAGGAATTCATTTTTATTAATTTACTTATTTATTTATTATTTCAATGTACCATTTGGTGAACAATCTTCAAATTATTATTA